ATTTATAAACTAGGCAAATACCAGTCCAACAAGAACATCTGTCTGACGTCACTCATTGTTTGTCTCTGATGTATAATTTTAGACGAGTCCTCCCGAGGTGGGAGTTTAAGAATTGTATAAACACTTCTTTTTTTATGAAAAAAGTTGTGCGTCTAAGTGTTTGCGCTTGTCTTGGGTGCAGAATGTGCGAAACTATCCCCTAAAACTTGGCAGTGTTTGAGCGACAAAGAGACGTCGGATGAGGTTTATTTTGAAATCTCATGAGTTCAGCAAGTACCCAGCGGCAGCTATTCTAAAAGTATTGTTTTTTCTGATGATAGTTGCTTTCAAGAATCTAACACAATGAGTGAAATTTAATAATACAGCATGAGTGCATTACACGAGAGAGTACGTCCCATCTTCTCAAAATACTTTAGTCACGCCCTTACAACATCACAGAAAATGAGCAACAAAATTTTATCAAAGAAAACGAATAAGTCTTATGTTTGACGCTGAACTCGTCTTTTTTATTTACCGACTTTGTATAAAGTATTCTATTAAATTTTCACCAACATTCAAAACATTTCATTACAGTTCATTACATACAATTTAATGATAGTATATATATAGATGGATAGTATATAATCTTATATATATAATGACAGAATGAAATTAAAATCAGAATTAAAATCAATATAAATAAACTGCCATACCATCAAAGAAGATGGTTATTTCTAAAAAAAAATCCAAACCACCTCAGCGATACATACCCTTGTATCAATTACCTAAAATAAACAAACAAACATATCAAAAGTCCAAACCAAAAAAACAAGTAAGCCTTCCAGGTATTAAGCCAGATTATTTCAGGGGGAAAATACATTTATTCAGACCAGTTCATGCAAATATTCACTTCATTTTCCGCGCCATTGCAGAATTCCATATGAATTACCTAAAGGGTTCGGCAATACACATAACAGAAGGGGGAGGGAGAGGGTGGGGGGGGGGGTGAGCACTGAAAGGATGTTCTGAAATGCTCAACAGCGAATCAAAATAAATGTTACAGAGCAAAATATCAAATAAGGAAATTATTATTAAATTATTAAAGAAGATAATTATCAGCCTTCCCCTTTTCTTTTTGTGTTTTTATTACTAGAGAGATTTCAATGTAATCTTTACTTATAACTTTTTATTTTGAATTTAATGTACTCCTTCGCTCATTCTTTGCTTTCTCATTCCTCCTCTACATTGTTTGAATACCTTCCCGTCTATCCGATTTTTTTGCCCCTCCCTCTCTCCCTCCTTCACTCATTCTCTTTCTCTCTGTCTCTTGGGAAAAGTTAAAGACAAAAATAATCCACTTGTTTGTTTTCCTCTCTCTCTTTTCTTTCCCCCCTTCCTTCTTTTTTTTTTCTCCGGGGAACAGTCAAAGACCAAAATAATCCAACCAAAACAAGGACCAAGAGGGAAGGAAAACAAGGGCGATAAAACAACATAAACCGAAGAGAAGGGAAACCGGGCCTTCGCGGGCGGGAGAGCGGGCGGGGCGGGCGGGGAAGCGACGGCAGAGCTAACCGGTTCAATCATCCGATCGCTCGGAAGTGAAACACGGTCGATCGCTTTCCGGAATGGGAATATGCAACCCCCCCCCCCCTCTCCTCCTGTTCCCAGTTACAAGCAAAACCTTACAGATCTCGGCTTCATCCCTGAAAAGAAATGACACACATGCAAACGTAGAGACGAGATTATATATATATCTATAAACCTTTTTTTCAGCAAAGGTCAGTGACCCTATCTCGGACCTTTTGACCTCTTTTCCTCACCTATCTTCGTCCTGCCGTCCGTATCGGGTGGTGCCGGCATAGTGGTGGTGATGGTGACCTACTCTGACCTTGTGATGGCACGAGTCTTTCCCTTGGACATCACACTGCTGGAGGCACTTTGGTAACTCTTACGCACACTTTCGCTTTCACTCTTGGCGTAATTTTCTATTCCCTTTTTCTTTTCACCCTTTTGATTTTTCTTATTATTATTTTATTATTCCTTCGTTTTATCAAAATTTGATTATTTTCTTTCTTTTTTTCTTCAGTCGTTTTACCTGAAACACAGAATCGGAACTTCAATCACTTTCGTTATCCCGCGACCAGAGTTCTCACATTCGGACGCGCGCGCTCACTTCCTCTCCCACGTATCCCTTAAATGATTTTCTTCCACCTCGTCCGGATGGCCTGATCTACGACTTCAGATTAGGCTGACTCAGCAGCTGACAGGACGCGGGAGGGCATAATCGCCGCCGTGTCATAAACTTGGCACAAACGGACAACGCCAGCTCAAAACACACTTCGATGGGTATCAAAGCTCGGCAAAAACCTGACACATAAATCTCTCTTTCTCCCTCTCGAACATCAAAAAGCTCCTTGGCTTAAATATCTGCCCGACATGGGCGATTGCCATCTCTCATTCTTGGTCATTGCTTCCTTCTTTTTCCTCCTCCTCCCCCTCTTCCACCTTTCAATCTTGGCCATTGCTTCCTCTTTCCATCTTTCCAATCTTGGTCATTGCTTCCTTCTTTTTCCTCCTCCTTTCCATCTTTCAATCTGGCCATTGCATTCTTCAATTGGGCCATTGCTTCCTTCTTTTTCCTCCTCCTCTTCCATCTTTCAATCTTGGCCATTGCTTCCTTCTTTTTCCTCCTCCTCCTCCTCTTCCATCTCTCATTCTTCGCCATTGCTTCCTTCTTCCTCCTCCTCCTCCTCTATCTCTCATTCTTGGCCACTGCCTCTTATTCCCCCCATTCCTCTTCCTTCTCAACCACCACCTCCACCCCCACCCCCACCTCCTCCACCTCCTCTCCATTCTTCTCCTCCCCTTTATCTCAATCCTCCACCCTCCCTCTCCTTCTTTCCGCTCTTACACTCCCTCCTCCCCGCTTACACTCCTCCTCCTTCCCTCTCGCCGCCTGCGTGAAAGCAGATCAAGCACACGCCAGAAAGGCAGAACCCGGGAGAGCTGCGCTAAGGGAAGCTCTACGTGAATACATGAATAAAGATGCTGACACTTAGTGGGGGAGGAGGGGGAGGGGAGGACGGAGAGGGAAAGGGTGGAGTGGAAGGGGAGGAGAGGGGAGGACGGAGAGGGGGAAAGGGGGGTGGAAGGGGGAGGGAGGGGGGGAAAGGCGGAGAGGGGAAAGGGTGGAGTGGAAGGGGGAGGGAGGGGGTGGGAAGGGCGGAGAGGGGAAAGGGTGGAGTGAAAGGGAGGGAGGGGGAGGGAAGCGGAGGGAAAGGGTGGAGTGGAAGGGAAAGGGGGAAAGAGAAGAGAGTAGGAGGGAAGAAAGGTAAAGAGAGAAATAGACAACAACAACAATCATAATATTAATGAGGGCGATGAAGAGGGAAGAGGATGAAGAAGAAGAACGAATGAAATGAAAAACAAACACTCAAAGAGAGAGAGAGAGAGAGAGAGAGAGAGAGAGAGAGAGAGAGAGAGAGAGAGAGAGAGGAGAGAGAGAGAGAGGAGAGAGAAAGAGAGAAAGAGAGAGAGAAGAGAGAGAGAGAGAGAGAGAGAAGAGAGAGAGAGAGAGAGAGAGAGAGAGAGAGAGAGAGAGAGAGAGAGAGAGAGAGTCAAAGTNCTTACAAAATGTAGGAAAAAAAAAGTGTGAATGAGACCGAAACATTTTCCCAAACCAAATTTTACAAGAGATGTATTGAAACCCGGTTTTTCGATTCCCATCTTCCTCAAGAAAATAACATGTTATTTTCTGGACGGAAAAGGGATAATCGAAAATTATTTTAATTATTAATAAGGGTAAAGATAATAATAAAAAAAAAGGGTTATCAATTAATATGATTAATGATGATGGGGAACAATTAAAGGATTTATTTTAATTAAATTAAATAGGTAAAATTAAATGAATAATAATTTATAATTAATTTTTGATTAATAAGTATTTAAATGATAATGACAAGGTAATAATAATTGATAATAAATGTTAAAAGTAATTAAATAATAAAAAGATTTGATAAATAAAGCAAAAAAATTGATTTAATTTTGATTTAATAAAGTAATAAAAGCTAACCCTGATCTTTAGCTGAAAAGAAATTAGGTAAAGGAGTGTAATTTACCGTTTACTGTATCTATTGTTTATTTACTGGAGTTTGTTATTAATCGGAACGAACTTGGGGAAAAAAAAGGTTTGGGGCAGTTTGCTTTTGTTAAGGGATCTTGTTTTTTTTTTTGTATTTGTTTTCTTTTTTTTCATTCTACTTGTAATTTCTTAATTTTTACTCCTTCGTCTTTTTTCTTCTCTTTTTTTTCTTTATAATTTATTGAGCATTTTCATCTTAGTTTCCCCTTCTTTCTTCTTAATTGGTTTCATTTTCTTTCTATTATTTCTTTATTCCTTTATCCTTTCCCTTTCTGGTGTCTTCCATTTCTTATTTTTCTATTTATCTATTTCTTCCTGTTTTATTTTTCCCTCAAATTTCCTCTTCTTTAATTTTTTCTTATTTCTTCTTGCTTTTTCATCATTCTATCCACCCAATTTTCCTCCCTCTCCCTTTCATTCCTTCACCGCTCATTTTTTTTCATATAATTATCATTTCAACCCGTTCATTTTTTTTCATTCTTTATTTTCAATTTCAACCGTCATCAATCATTTCACCAATTCATCATTAATTTTTCAATCAACCACCATCAATTTCATTATTTTATTATTCATCACACCCATCATCACATTCTTTATTTTTTCTTTTTCATTTCAATTTCCCACCATTTACAATTTCTTTTCATTCCATCATTCAATTTTTTTTTTTTTCATCACCCACCATTTCATTTCATCATCCCACCCATTTTTTATTCAATCATTATTCATCTCCTCCTCCTTTTCCTTCCCTTCCTTTTCTCCATTTTCATTCATCAATCCAAAATTTCTAAAACCATCTTTTTAATTTTTCTTTTCCTTAACCGGTCAAGAATGGCCAAACAATTAATATGTAAAAAAATTAGCTGTTTTATTGGGACTTCATGGCATCCAAACCTATTGCATATCTTAGGTCCAAAGTTAAATTTTGTCCAACACTGTCTATTGATTTTCTTGGAAAAATGGTTTACAAATCGTCCCCACCGGGAAGGGCCATTTTTGGGATGTTATTTTTATTGGAATAAATTTTTTTGCAAGTTTCCGGATTCCGTTTTGGGCGAAAAAATTTACAGGCCCAAATTTTGTGTTTTCTTTAATTTTGGGTTTCGGAGTAAATAGGAAATTTAAAAGATTTTTTTTTTCTCTCGCCCTCGGTGGGTTTCTTGGAAGTTGTTTTCTTTCGTTTACTCCCTTTTCCGTTTTTCTCTGGTTCGCTGTTTTTGTTTCTAACCATTTTTTCACGTATTCGACTGGTTTCGTTTAGTTTTTTTTAAACTTCTTTCATTCTTTCTTTATTTTCAATTCATCATTATTCATTCATCTTCTTCTTTTGTCTTTTTTTCTTTCTTTTCTTCTTGTCCTTTTTTCTTTTCTTCTTCTTTTCTCGTTCTTCTTTTCTTCTTTACTTTCTTTTTCTTCTTTCATTCGTCGTCCTTTTTTTCAATATTTTTTTTTCTTTTCTTCTTCCGCCGGGGCCGGTCTTTCTTCTTTCATTTCCCACCTTTTTTCCTTTACTTTCAATTTTTTTTTTGTTTGGTTTGGTCCCATTGCTCGCCATTTTCAAAATTAAAAAAATTTCTTATCTTCCATGTTATTTTTTAAATTGGTTCATTGCGGCAACGTTTTTCCTGTTTAAACGTTATTTTTCTAGTCCAAAAGCTTTATATGTCTTTTCCGTTTTTCGATTAAATTCAAAGAACCAACCTACCTGGTCTCTGTCGTATTTTAGTTATTTTCCCAGTTTTTTACTTTTATTGTATTTTTTTTTTTTATTTTTGCCATTATATTATATTTAAACTTTCAAGAAAGTGGAGGCGCCGCGTTCGGGAACTGCCCTTTCTCTTTCCCTTTCCCCCATTCCCCCTCCCCCTACCCACTTCCTCCCCTTCCCCTCCACTCCTAAAGCCTCCCCCTTTACCCCTCCCCTTTCCCTCTTCTCTACCGGGGCGGGCCTCCCTCCCTCCCCCTCCCCCCTTTTTCCGCCCTCTCCCTTTCTTTACAGGGGGGCCTCCCCTCCCTTCCCCCTCCCCTCCCTTCCTACTCTTCTACAGCGCCTTCCCCCCTCCCTTCCCCCTCCCCTTATTTCCTCCTCCCTTCTTAAGCTCCCATTCCCAAACCACTGGGACTCATCCGCCTCCTTTAACTGTATTCTCTCAATTAATCTTTCCAATTGCATATCCGGACCCATTTTCATTGAGGGTTCCTTAACCCCCCTTCCTTAAGCTCTTTCTCGGTGGTCTATTTCTTTCTTTTCTTTCTTCTTAGGGCTCTCTTCGTATTTAATTTCGTCTTGGCCTTTATTCGCCCTTTTTGCGGTTGATCTCTCCGGGGAAACATTTTCCTTCCCTTCGGGGCTCATTTGGGAAATAAGGGTTTTTTTTGGGTTAGGGGTTGTAATCTGTTTCCATCATCCCTTTTGTATATTCATCTTTCTTTATTTTCCAGGGGCATTTCCTCCTTTTTATTCCTTTTAGTTTCATTTCATCATTTCCGTCATTTTCCCTGGTCTCCCTTCAGGTCCCTTCCTTTCTCCCCTCTTCATTTCCCTTCCCAGTCCTTCCTTCTTCTCCAGTTCCTTCCTTTCCTTTTCCTTTCTTTTCCCAAAATTTCTCCCACCTTTCCTTGTTTCTTCCCTCTTTCTATTTCATTCCCTGCTTCTTTCCTCTTTCTTTATCATTTCCAATTGGCTTCTTTCCTTCCTTCTATTCAATTCCTTCTTCCTCCTTCAACTCCTTCCGTTCCCTTTTTTCCTTTACCTTTCCTCCCCCCCTTTTCTTCCAATTCTTTCCCTTCCCGCCCGAACCATCAATTCCATTCCCCTTCCTCCTCTTCCCTCACATCAAATACTTTCATAAATTTTCCTCATTTTTGCAATTGATTTGGCCAGGTCATAATTCCCCCACTCGCCCCCAACCCCCCCCTCCCCCTCCCCCCACCCACAACCTCTTCCCTCCCCCTTTTCCCCCTCCCCCACCCACCACTTTTCTCCCCCTCCCCAGGCCCCCACCCAACCCACCTTTTCTTTCCCCTCCCCCCTTCCCCCCACCACCACTCTTCCCCTCCCCCCTCCCCTACCACCCCTTTCCTCCCTCCCCCCTTTACCCCCCTCCCCCCTCCCCCTCCCCACCCCCCCCCCCCCCCCGCCCGGGCCTTTTTCCTTTTCCCACGGGGAATATTCCCCAAAAAAACCCTGACATTCCCGAGGGGGTCCGTTCATTAATCCCTTGCTTTTCCTTGAGGCTCTTTCTTTCTCTCTTTCTCCTCTCTTTCGTTGTGGGTTTTTTTTCTGGATGGATGGGAGGGAAATAGGAAGGTGAGGAGGGAGAGAAGGGAAGGGAAGGGGGAGGAAGGGAGAGGGAGAAGGGAAGGAGAGGAGAGGGTGAAGG